CCCCCTCACCCCCTTGCATCCGGACCCCGTCTCCCTTCTCCTCAGCACTGCCAGCAGAACCATTCCCAGGAGCAACCGCAGGCACCGGAGGGGCAGGAGTGACAACACCACTGTTAGGCCAGCAGAACCCGTGGCACGGAGTGGCAGCTGCAACACTGTGGCTTCCCCCTACTGGCACTTGCTTCAGCTCCCACAGCAAGGGGAGACGCACACGCAAGTGCAAGAGCATCAGAAAATGTTGCTGCTACCTGGGTACGAAACATGAGCAATATAAGGAGTAGGAGGGTGAGGAGATTTTTGCTGCTCAAAGGAGGATGCTTTGAAAGATGAAGGATGCTTTGGTCCAAAGAGGAATATAGGCGAAATAAGAATGCTTCTTTTCTCACGATTTCAGATGCAAGGCAAGTTCTGAAAGCCTAAACCATCGCAGCAACTGATATGCATGTGCAAAAGCGAAGCTTGACTTCTATAGTACCTTAGACTGATTGATGAAAGCATGCATGGCGGCGCAAAGCAGCAGAAAGATAAGGACTCACCCGCTCGTGCTTGCGCAATGCCCCATCGAAGTAAGCAAATGGCTGCTGCGAGGCTTGTGATTGAGCCGTATGTGACTGTGTCGCATGTGACTGCGCCCTATGTGATTGTTGTGAGCGCATGGCAGAGATGTGTGGCTCTGTGCGGGTCATGATGAGCTGCACGGGAGCAGATCCCACCAGATGCTGCATGGAATGGGAGAGGAAGGGAGATGGTGTACCAGGGGAGACGAAACAGGGTGTTTTTGAGAATTCTCAAAAACACTCTGAAGTAGGAGCATCTGAGCGCGTGGTAGCAGTATGCTGTATGCGCTGGCTCCGAGTGCGTCGTGATGAGCTGCACGGGAGCTGATCCCACCAGATGCTGCATGGAATGGGAGAAAGAAGGGGGTTGGTGTGCGCGGGGGAAGAGGGGGAAGGGGGGGTGAAGCAGGCGAAGCAGGAGCATCTGAGCGCGTGGCAGAGATAAGCGGCTCTGTGCGGGTCATGATAAGCTGCACGCAATGGGAGATGGATGGTGATTGGTGTGCAGGGGGAAGACGGGGGGGGAGGGGGGACAGGCGAAGGAAGGGTAGCTGAGCCTGAGCGCGTGGAATGAAGCAGAAAAGCCTTACACAGAACTCCCCAGACGCCTTTTGAGGCGCCTCAAAAGGGTAGCTGAGCCTGAGCGTGTGGAATATAGCAGAAAAGCCAAACACAGAACTCCCCAGACGCCCAAAAGCAAAGTGCTACATGGAAAGTCGTGCACCTGCAAGTATCCCCGTGCGTGAGAGCTGTTGATGAGGTCCCATTGGGCCACCGCCGGCCAATCAGCCACTGCTCCTCTCAATGCCTGACACGTGGATAAAGCGCGGGGGTGGGAAAGAGGACGGATGGGCGAACGTCAGCAGCGCATGCACCAAGTCAGCTGAAACAAGCCCCATAACAGCAGGACAAGCTGCATATCAGCATCAGACACCACGTCAGCAGCACACGCCACGTCAGCAGCACGCACCACGGGGAAGTTATCCTTCTCCAGTCGATGGCAGAGCAGCGGCTCCGTCATGGCGTCAACCTTAATATCCCTCACCGCCAGCACGGTTCTCGCTCCTAAACACCACCGTCGCCCATCGGCATCTTCAATCTGTACGGCGCCTATTGAGACACCATCGGAAGGTGAACCTGTGTGTAAAACAGCATGCCGGCCACTCCCTTGAGGTTTGAATGACATCGCTGGGGGAATTTTTGCGATGGTTTTTCGGGTGCAGAGTTTCGGGTTCCAGCAAAAACATTTGTGACTTTGTCGAGGTAGGATGGTTCGCCATAGAGTAGCTCGACACTATGTAATTTCTCACTGATAAATGGAATGTGAACCTGCATTGGTGAAACAAATGTTTCAGTACGCGATTCTAGATTTGCTTACAACGGATCAAATAGCGGCCGAGGCGGCGCTACAGTAACACAATGGTTACCAAAGGGTTGTAACTGTTACAGTATCCATTGTTACGCCACGTCGATAGCCTTGTTACCGCAATATTGTTGAAGTTCCTAGAGTTTAGTAGGCTTAGGAGCCATTGCTAGTTGCCTTAGTAGCTTAGGTTTAGGGTTGATGAAAGTCGAGAAAGTTGAGAGAGGAGAAAGAGGGCTCACTATAGGTTTGCAAGAACATATAGCAAAGGAAACAAAGAAGGTGCACCACCCAAACAAAGTTTATAATAACTACACTAACTACAGCTACAGGCAGTTACAGATATATTCTGACACTCCCCCATAACTGCCTGCAGCAGAAGCTAATGCAGAGACACCCCCTGAAGGGGTACACCAAGCGCAGCAGAAGGAGAGGGCAAGTGAGGAGGAGGGACTATATGAGGAGAGGTTGCTGGCAGGTGAAGCTGCTGGCTCCAAGGCGGCTGCTTCCTGGAACCTTCCTCAGTCCTCCAACTCCCCCTTCCACACTCCTTGACAACCCTAGCACCTCTCTCCCAGCTCCCCCACACCCTCACACCCACCCCCCCCTGCGGCAGCTGCAGCAGTGGGAGAGAAAGGAGGAGGAGGGGAAGGGGATCACACACACCCATCACCCCCATACCCGCCACCCCCAGAGCCTCCGTTCCACGGCTGCACGCGCAGCAAGGAGACGAAGAAGAGGGGAGGGGGGGGGGGCAGGGGCGACAGAGCAGAACAGAGCGCACGAGGGCACAGGCAGACCAGAGCCCACAAGGGCGCGGACAGCAGCAGAGCGGCAACGGGCAGCACAGGCACGGGCAGCAACGGGCGACAACGGGCAGCACATGCACGGGCAGCAACGGGCGGCAACGGGCAGCACAGGCACGGGCAGCAACAGGCAGCACAGGCTCGGGCAGCAACGAGCGGCATCGGGCAGCACAGGCACGGGCAGCATCAGGCAGCAACAGGCAGCACAGGCTCGGGCAGCAACGGGGCGGCAACAGGCAGCACAGGCACGGGCAGCAACAGGCAGCACAGGCACAGGCAGCAACGGGCGGCAACAGGCAGCACAGGCACGGGCAGCAACGGGCGGCAACGGGCAGCACAGGCACGCGCAGCAACGGGCGCAGCGGGCAGCACAGGCACGGGCAGCAACAGGCAGCAACGGGCAGCACAGGCACAGGCAGCAACGGGCGGGCAACAGGCAGCACAAGCACGGGCAGCAACAGGCAGCACAGGCACGGGCAGCAACGGGCGGCAACAGGCAGCACAGGCACGGGCAGCAACGGGCGGCAACGGGCAGCACAGGCTCGGGCAGCAACGGGCGGGCAACAGGCAGCACAAGCACGGGCAGCAACAGGCGGCAACGGGCAGCACAGGCACGGGCAGCAACAGGCAGCAACGGGCAGCACAGGCACAGGCAGCAACGGGCGGCAACAGGCAGCACAGGCACGGGCAGCAACAGGCAGCACAGGCACGGGCAGCAACGGGCGGCAACGGGCAGCACAGGCACAGGCAGCAGCGGGCGGCAACAGGCAGCACAGGCACGGGCAGCAACAGGCAGCACAGGCACGGGCAGCAACGGGCGGCAACAGGCAGCACAGGCACGGGCAGCAACGGGCGGCAACGGGCAGCCACAGGCACGGGCAGCAACGGGCTGGCAACGGGCAGCACAGGCACGGGCAGCAACGGGCGGCAACGGGCAGCACAGGCACGGGCAGCAACAGGCAGCACAGGCATAGGCAGCAACGGGCGGCAACAGGCAGCACAGGCACGGGCAGCAACAGGCAGCACAGGCACGGGCAGCAACGGGCGGCAACAGGCAGCACAGGCACGGGCAGCAACAGGCAGCAACGGGTAGCACAGGCACAGGCAGCAACGGGCGGCAACAGGCAGCACAGGCAAGGGCAGCCGTACCGAGTCCAGGAGCGGCGGCGCATACAGCTGTGGGGTCGGCGCCGTGGGCTGCTGCTGGGGCGCCTCGCGGGGTCCAGAGGCGGCTGCTGTTGCTGGGGCGGCTGCTCCAGGCGCTGCTGCGGCTGGGGCGGCCGCTGCAGTGGCGGCGGCTCCACGGGCTGCTGCTGTTGCGGCGGCGGCTCCAGGGGCTGCTGCTGCTGGGGCGGCTGCTCCAGGCGCTGCTGCTGCTGGGGCGGCCGCTGCAGTGGCGGCGGCTCCAGGGGCTGCTGCTGTTGGGGCGGCGGCTCCAGGGGCTGCTGCTGCTGGGGCGGCTGCTCCAGGGGCTGCTGCTGAGGTCCAGGGGCGGCGCTGGTGCAAGGTAGGCCCGCGCTCGGCTGCAATGCTGGTGCGGGCGCAGGTGAGGCAGGGGGGAGGGCGCCGCGACGAGCAGGGACGGCGCCCAAGGAGTGTCGCTACGAGCAGGGGCGACGCCCCAGGGGCGCCGCGACGAGTAGGGGCGGCGTCCAGGGGGCGGCGCGACGAGCAGTGGCGACGCCCCGCGGGTCCCGCAGTGGCGTCACGACGAGCAAGGCGACGCCTTGCGGGTCCTGCAGGGGCGTCGCGACGAGCAGGAGCGGCGACGCCTGGGTCCCGCAGGTGCGTCGCGACGAGCAGGAGCGGCGCCTCGCAGGGCGCCGCGAAGTGGAGGGTACGGGCTGGCAAAACAGGCCCGCCCGTGGACGTGAGGCAGGCGCGCAGGCGGCGTTGAGGGCAGGCAACGCGCGGGGCAGGAAGACGCCACGCGCCCAGGGCGCACGGCGGGCAAAAGCCCGCCGTGCGCCCCGAGTACACGGCGGGCAGAAAATCGCCGTGCGCCACGCCGCGCGGCAGGACGATAGGCAGCGGAAGCAGGAAGGCAGTAGGAAAGTACCTGCTTTGAATACCATGTTGAAGTTCCTAGAGTTTAGTAGGCTTAGGAGCCATTGCTAGTTGCCTTAGTAGCTTAGGTTTAGGGTTGATGAAAGTCGAGAAAGTTGAGAGAGGAGAAAGAGGGCTTCACTATAGGTTTGCAAGAACATATAGCAAAGGAAACAAAGATGGTGCACCACCAAACAAAGTTTAAAATAACTACACTAACTAGAGCTACAGGCAGTTACAGATATATTCTGACAAATATTACTCAACGGTTGTTATAAACGTATTGTTTAATTTATGTGGTAACAACAGTTACCCTAATACACTAGTTGTAACATCAACTGTAATATTAGCATCCCATATTTACTTTTCGATGGCCAGTACTCGAATAAATATGTATATTGAACATTAACAAGGCACGACAAACCAATCTTTAAATAATTCCCGTCAACTCAACGAACCGCCATGACGTCACTATTGCGACCTAACATAGGTATGTCACCGGTCCTGCACATTAGCAAGCCTTGAGACGACAAATACCAATCCTGGAAAACGGGATTAACATCAACAGCCTCCGGTCAAACATTAACAGTAGCAATCACAAAGAGCGGCAACCACCTGCCGTGCGGAATCGCCAGGAATTACGCAACCTGCAAAAAGAACACAATTAGCAAATCCCTGCCTCTCACCACGGGTTGAGAAGGACACTTGTCATACAATTCCTGCGTAGTACAGAGAAACATAACACAAGAAACAGACAACGCAAGCAAGCGAAGGCGCAGTAGGTTGGACGGAAAATCAGGATAACACCGTGCAGAATTGCGCGACAATAAGGGAAATACCACGGTCCTTATGCGCCAACTCACGACTCACGACGACTTCGAGAAGATGACTGCCTGCGCAAACATTTGAGTAGTGGCGAATACATTTGAGTAAGACGCACAACGAGAGCTGAAGATATGCAGAAAGGCGATGGCAACAAAATAAGAATATGAACCAGCCACTACGGCTGCTACGACTGGCACCGGCACTGGCGCTGACAACCGATTGAAGGCCGCGGAAGTGGAATGGCGAATTACTGGGGGGGAGAGCTGAAGTTCTCTCGACTTTAACTCGCATAAGCGAGAACCTTGGTGCTCTAGCAGGGTGGTGAGCAGGCAACTTCGCTGCTGTGCTGGTGCACCAGCGAAGCTCGAAGCTTGCAAGGTGACGACGATTGTGATTCGTCCCTTCGATGTTCACCCGCCGCCACCTCTCATATCGTCAAAGAAGGATGTGCATTAGGTGCGGTAGCAAAAGCCTGAGCAAGGATTGGCTACAAACAAAATTGCCGCGACAGCTGTCAAGTGGAATCTTACAACACTTCAGTTTCTGAAATGGGGGTCGTGGAGAGATGTCGTCAGTAACAGTCAAGATGTACATCTTTGTGTGCTTACATACAGATAACATTTCAGAAGGTGAATCACAGACATGCCATATTGGAAGCCACAGAATTGGCTAAGTGTTGGGAAATTTTAAGTTGGTTTTTTTTTTTTTTCATGATTACGATAGATTGAGGCCTCCTTTACCATACTACGACCGAAATAATTGCAAAAGACACATTTTATGATGGTTTGTGGGTCCAAATGCCCGCCTATTTCAATACATTTTAAGGGTGATAGCCACTAGGCTTGTGGTTCAAATCATCATTTTGATGGCTCTACCATCTCCCCTAAACCTCCTCTACTGTTATGGAATGGAAAGTGTTTTTGGGTGAAATTCACCAAAACCAACATATCAAGCTATACCAACGAAGCTCCTAGCACCTCACAATTCATTCTCCAGCTATCATGGACATGTGTTAATTTCAAGCATGTTTTTTTTGTTAGTAGAAGTATGTGCTGCGTATATGACCTACTCTGTGAAGAAATAGGGCTAAAAAAACATATAGACGATTAAACGGTGACATGTTGGCGTACTGGCATATCCTTGCTCAGATTCATGCCATCAAACGCACCAACAAGCGTCACGTGCTGCGTAGTGTGAAAGTAAGAGGGATTTAGTAGAAGCCATAGCTAGGACTAACCTAGCTAGGCAAGGATAGTTTAGAAAAGAGAGAGGGGGTTTTGCACTAGCAAGCAAGCGGAATACATATAGGAAACCCTAAGGGGTTATACTCGCTATGGAGTACCCCACTGCAGGCTAGAGAACAAATATGACATTCTGACACACCCCCATAGCCAAAGTGGGGTGTAATCAGCAGAGCAAACAAAACAAAACAAGCTAAGGGTGGATCACAATGTCACCACACAGTCTGAGCACAAGTTCAAGAAGCACTAGTATAAAGTTCACAATTATGAGCAAAGCTAAAGGTAGTCACAACGGGCAAGTGAGGAGGAGGAGAGAGAGTGAGAGGAGAGGAGATAGGAGGCGACGGATGAAGTTGCAGACACACGGGCAACAGGAGGCAGACTGGCACAGCGGCTACCGGACGAAATCCCCGGAATACAGGAGTAACAGGCCCCCGCGGCTAAAGTAGCGGCAGACGAGCAACGGACCCACGGGCGGCTGGCACAGCTGGCTACGACTGGGCTACCGGACAAAGTCCCCGGAATACAGGTGCTGCTGGCGACACTACAGCAACCTTCATTCACCTTCCCCAGACTATCCCACTTCTCCTGGCACACACCCACTGCTACACCGCTAGCTCCACTCACCCTTCACCCCCCCCTAGTACCACTCCTCCGGCTCCAACACGTCCACCCTCCCCCTCAGCGGCAGCTGCAGCACAAGGAAACGGAGGAGGAGGAGGAGCAGGGAGCGGTACAGAGTAAGGTCACCCCCATACCCCTCACCCCCAAACCCTAAGTTAGGAGAATGGGGAGTAGGAGGGGTGGGGCGGTAGTAGAGGCACTGGGAATAGCGGGGAGGGCAGGGAAGGCAAGAAATGGGCCCACCACGGGCCTGGTAAGGTCGCCCGAGCCGCGCGCAGGCGGCCCGAGCCCGCGCGCGGGTCTGGCGCCTCCCGTACGGGCCGCGCGTGGGCCTGGGGCAGCCCGTACGGGCCGCGCGCGGGCCTGGCGCAGCCCGTACGGGCCGCGCGCGAGCCTGGCGCAGCCCGTACGGGCCGCGCGCGGGTCTGGCGCAGCCCGTACGGGCCGCGCGCTGCCTGTACGGGCCGCACGTTGGCCACGACGGGCGACGGGGGGCGACGCGGAGGTCCCCGTCGCCCGTCACAGCGCCTCCCGGGAGCGGCGCGCGGCGTGACGGGGCAGAAACCCGCCGTGCGCCCCAAGGCGCACGGCGGGAAGAGAACCGCCGCGCGCCTCGGGGCACACGGCGGATAGAAAACCGCCGCGCGCCTCAGGGCGCACGGCGGAAAGGGAGAGTAACAGTTGCAGCGGAAGGAGTGTAGTGGGGCCCACAGAACAAATATGACATTCTGACAGGTAGTTGTGCGAATGATCTAAAACCAGTTCCTATGGCTAGGGAAATGGATAAACTAGAGAAATATGTGAAGAAATAGGGCTAGAAAAAACATATAGACTATTAAACGGTGACATGTTGCGTACAGGCATATCCTTGCACAGATTCAGGCCATCGAATGCACAAACAAGCGTCACGTGTTGCGTAGTTGTGCGAATGATCTCAAACCAGTTCCTATGGCTAGGGATGTCACAATAGTAGGCATAACGAGGAGCCATAGCTAGGTAAACCCTAGCTAGGCAAGAGAGAATTAAGCAAAGGGGGGGGTTCACTAGCAAGCAGGAGGATACAAATAGGAAACCCTAAGGGGTCGTACTCACTACAGAGTACCCCACTATAGGCTAGACAAGCATTATAATCTGACACACCCCCATAGTCAAAGTGGGGTGTAATCAGCAGAGCAAGCAGTCATAGAGTAGTTCACAATCACAAGTAAAGCTAGGGGTAGTCACACAGGATATGTGAG